AACCAGTACTAAGTGATTCAATAACCACTCAAATCTCAATGATATCCTCCTCAATTGTAAATCTCTCTCACTATGTGTGTAGGATCCTTTGCATAATAGATCCTAAGTAAATTTGACTCAACCTAAAATATTAAATAAATAGACATGTGAATCTTTCTCACTTAAATGTTGTTCAACGAAGCTATTCTATTTCGCACTTGAACCTTAAGATTTGAGATTTAACTCATTAAAAAAGCTAATTTCCCTCCTGCTTATGGTCCAGTGACTCGGTTGGTTGGAGTGAAGAAATTCAGTTTTCAACTCCACCAGCTGGAGGATCGGATGAGATCAGATTCATTGCATTTGGTGATATGGGCAAAACTCCTCTCGATGCTTCCAAAGAACACTACATTCAGGTAGAACTGCTACTTCAAACATTTTACCATTTAGATTTTATATGATATGCATATGATATGCGCACTAAGTAAGGATTTGGCTACTGGGGACATCTCCTGTCTTGTTATTCAAAAAGCCCGGAGCTCTTTCAGTGATTAAAGCTATAGCCGAAGATGTAAATTCCAAAAAAGTAAATTCAGTGTTTCACATCGGAGACATAAGCTATGCGACAGGTTTTCTAGCAGAATGGGATTTCTTCCTTCACCTTATCAACCCAGTAGCTTCCAGGCTTTCTTATATGACAGCAATAGGGAATCATGAGAGGTATTTCATTCATATTAACACAATTCTGTGCAGCGAATGTTTTCCTCTAGTATACCTTACTTGAAGAGTTTATACAAAAGTTCACACAAAATCATTACTTAATTTCCTGTACATTTCTAAACTCTTTGTTTTCACTCAGGGATTACGTAGATTCTGGTTCAGTATATATTACTCCTGACTCTGGTGGGGAATGTGGAGTACCGTATGAAACATATTTCCCAATGCCAACTTCAGCAAAAGATAAGCCTTGGTACTCTATAGAACAAGGAAGTGTTCATTTCACAGTAATATCAACTGAGCATGATTGGTCAGAAAATTCTGAGCAGGTAAAATGAGGGAAGCCACTATTATGTTTCTTTTATCTTTAGTTCGATTGAATGGTTACATAATATGTGTATCTTCCCCGTTGCAGTATGCGTGGATGCAAAAGGACATGGCATCGGTTAATCGACAGAAAACTCCTTGGCTAATCTTCATGGGGTAAGTATGCACATTTTTAAAGAATTGCTTGCCCCAAATTCACATCATTGGATATATCTATGAAGCATATTATGCATGACATTTTAACGTGCAGACATAGACCGATGTACACTTCTCACCAGGGATTGTTATCCTCTGAAAACAAATTTAATGAAGCTGTGGAACCATTGCTATTTCAAAATAAGGTTAGAAAATCAAGCTTCTTAGATCTTGTGTATAGTTCATTGACATGTTTGTGGTAAGTGACGGTAATGTGAAAACGAAATAGGTTGACTTGGCTCTTTTCGGCCATGTACATAATTATGAGAGAACTTGTTCCGTGTTTCAACAAAAATGTAAAGCCATGCCTACAAAAGATAAAAATGGAATGGATACATATGATGGCCGAAATTACAGTGCTCCAGTGCAAGTTGTCATTGGCATGGCTGGCTTCACCTTGGACAACTTTTCAAGCAATGTAATTATCTTTTCTTTTCTTCTCTTCTCAATCCTCCACACTTCACATATTTTCTCTCTGTGCAAGAAAATTACATAATATAATGTTTTAAAATATACATCCATATCTTCAAGATAGTGGTTATAATTTTTACTAAGAAATCACATTTTATGTTTTCTTACATATATAGGTTGAGAGCTGGAGCCTGAAAAGGATTTCCGAATTTGGTTATCTAAGAGCACATGCTACAAGAAAGGACTTAAGCCTAGAGGTTAGTTCTTACTCTCTTGTATTCTACTCTCACTCGCTTACATAGTTACAGGAAATAAACAGACTTTATTTGTTTTTTAACCCATTCATTTTTCATCTGTTTCCATATTTCTATATATCGATAAAGGATTTATTTGTGGATTCCTTTCTGTGCACTCTGTTTTCTTTAGAAAAGATCCAAAAGAAAAAAGAAAGAAGAAATAGGCATCTGTTTAAGCAATAAACAATCACAGAACAAGAACAAAGAGAAAAAGTATTAGTCACATGATGTCTAAATTATTTCTTCCATTGGCAAATTGCAACAATAATACGTAGTTCTACAATTCACTTTTTAAGACTATCCAACTCAGTAACGTTTCTTGCATGCCAGGCTTTTATGTGGACATCAACCTATCTCCATATAAGTATAAAGATGAATGATTTCCTCTTTCAGAACAAAAAATTAATGTGGCACCCATTATATTTCCTCCATTTGTCATCTTCCAAATTTTTGAAAAAAAAAATAGATGCAATAGATCTTAAACTATACAACAGAATCCATTTTAAATAGCGAAAGGCAATAAATATATATAAAATTATATTCTAAAAAATCTTATTATAATAAAATATTTCTAAAATTGTAAAAATTATAATTAAATTAATAAATGAATAAAAAATTGTAAAAAAAATCTCAAGAGATCATGATACTATAAAATATCATGAGATAACATCTTTATATATATCTTATATTTCTATGGCAAATTTTTACTTTTGCCAAACATGCTCCAGTCAGAATGAAAGCATCTTGACTTTAAAGCTGCGAGTGAAGTGAAATTACCATTCTTTATTTGATATTATTTTCAGTTCTGATTTGATGTCTTTAAAATGGCTTCATACCTCTAAACTTTTTATTTTATTTTAAGCATTGGAAGAAACATATTATATACAAAATACATTGACTCTTATCTACTTCATTGTAGTTTGTCGTCTCAAATACAAAAGAAGTTATGGACAGTTTCCACATTACAAAGTGATAGCTCATTCAAGAAACAGAGCATACGTAAGTGAAGGCTATATTATAGATAGAGACCATACAGATAGAAACAACATCATATGTTTGTGAAAGACAAAGAAGATATGGACGTAGGAGCAATTTCTCACTCTTTATAATGTATAGAACTGTAATTTTACACAAATTATATACAAGATAGGGTGTAATAGTAAGTTCCAACAGTCATTGTAAGCATTACGTACTATCAAATCATGTAGTAAAATGGGTATCATATGATCATAGTTCATAATGAAAAGCGCAAGCATGCATGTTCAAACTCGTTGTCATTGTTTCTTCCTGGCTGATAATTAGCATTAAGCAATGCTAGGAGTACTTTTAGGAAGTACCTCAATAAGCTATTGTGGAATTCATCATTGATCTTACAAAGAAGATGGAACTTTTTATATGAAAAATTCTCAAAGGGGAAGTATACAATTAAGCAAGTAGTAATCACCAAAAAAACACTTAAAGCCTAATAATCCTCATTCAATACGAATCGACTTTGTTTTCTGTCATCAATTTGAATTGACCTGATTCAGTAACTTGATATTTTTATGATTCCTTTGGGCCACATAATAATTTTTGTCCAAAGCATTAATGTTTTTTCTTTGTACAGTACCACCAAAACACACCCCCTGTGGATCAAGAAAGAAATCGAAACAGATATTACACTTTCCCCTATTGGTAATGATTTATAGACTCAAATATTAAATCTTCGCATAGAACTTTTTTGGAATCAATTTGACCCAAAACTCGTTCTAATTTTTTTTCCATCCAAGTTATTTATTTATTTTGTATAATTAAAAAATTTGATAAAAGCAAGTGATTATTTGTTCAAAATAAACCCCTTCATTGCTAAAAACGACAGCTAAATTAATTAAACCATTTTATACGAACCCTTTTCATTCATTCATTCCTCAAACCCAAGTCAGAAAGTGAGGTGTGAAACGACCATGACATAACCATGTCTTTTATGAATATAGAATATAGAGATAAGAGAAAATTAAATATTATTTTTTTAATGACAATGTGATGTGATCAAAAGCTGGCTTATGATTTTGGCCATCATCCAAATGCAATTGCTTTTTCTTCACATTTGGGGTTGTTTACTCAACTAGCTAGGTGAAGATGAGTAGGAAATAAAATTGCTTTTACTTTCCGCACCTCCTTTATTGGGGACCCTTCACCCATTTGGGCCAGTGGTCCTTATTTACTAGGATCTGTCAATCAATTTCCTCCATTCTAAGATTATTGTACGTCTTCCCAACCTCAACTTTCAAATTGATGGTCTTAATTAGTCCTTTTTGAAAAGGCATAATCACGTGTATATGGATTCAAATCTCTTTATATATCATAGATTTTTCTTATTGTGGATGTGCTTCATAGGCAATTTCTACTGATGGAAGACAACGTTAATTCTATAAAAGAATTTTAACCTTGTCTGTATTACTTATATGTGTTCTCTTGTTTCTTTAAGACAATCTTTGATTAGTTAATGCAACGCTTGTAGCCGACCAACTTCAATTCACTTGATCTATGTAAGAACCTGCGTGGTCCTGTGAATGAAACAATAAAATAGAAGCAAAAGAAAAGAAGTTAGCACCAATCTCATTATCTCTCTCACAGAGATGCAATTCACATTAGTTTATAAGAACGACAAGGTCAAGTTTGTTGAGTTGATGTGATTCATGTGAGCTAACAATAACATAAAATGTTGCTTTCTACCGAATCACATAAACTATGCTGCACTTTCCAACTTTTTTCTGACACTTTTTTCAGAAATTAGTTTACTTTAATGTTACTGCTCCTCCAGGTGGCTATCACTCAACAGTTCATTAAATTCAAAACTAGATTTCCACAGTATAAACCAGTAATGTTGTGCCATATATCAGAAGCAAACATTTCCTATGTTGGAAAAAGCAGATATTCACGATTTCAAGAAGGAATGTCCAAATGCATCTCCTATCACACTGAACCATTATTTAAATATCAGAATCTGAATCAAATCACTTGTTTGGAACTTCCTCAAATTTAAATTGTTATTAATCACTGAGTGCAAGTAGCCCAATCAGATTACANTCAGATTCATTGCATTTGGTGATATGGGCAAAACTCCTCTCGATGCTTCCAAAGAACACTACATTCAGGTAGAACTGCTACTTCAAACATTTTACCATTTAGATTTTATATGCTATGCATATGATATGCGCACTAAGTTAGGATTTGGCTACTGGGGACATCTCCTGTCTTGTTTTTCAAATAGCCCGGAGCTCTTTCAGTGATTAAAGCTATAGCCGAAGATGTAAATTCCAAAAAGGTAAATTCAGTGTTTCACATCGGAGACATAAGCTATGCGACAGGTTTTCTAGCAGAATGGGATTTCTTCCTTCACCTTATCAACCCAGTAGCTTCCAGGCTTTCTTATATGACAGCAATAGGGAATCATGAGAGGTATTTCATTCATATTAACACAATTCTGTGCAGCGAATGTTTTCCTCTAGTATACCTTACTTGAAGAGTTTATACAAAAGTTCACACAAAATCATTACTTAATTTCCTGTACATTTCTAAACTCTTTGTTTTCACTCAGGGATTACGTAGATTCTGGTTCAGTATATATTACTCCTGACTCTGGTGGGGAATGTGGAGTACCGTATGAAACATATTTCCCAATGCCAACTTCAGCAAAAGATAAGCCTTGGTACTCTATAGAACAAGGAAGTGTTCATTTCACAGTAATATCAACTGAGCATGATTGGTCAGAAAATTCTGAGCAGGTAAAATGAGGGAAGCCACTATTATGTTTCTTTTATCTTTAGTTCGATTGAATGGTTACATAATATGTGTATCTTCCCCGTTGCAGTATGCGTGGATGCAAAAGGACATGGCATCGGTTAATCGACAGAAAACTCCTTGGCTAATCTTCATGGGGTAAGTATGCACATTTTTAAAGAATTGCTTGCCCCAAATTCACATCATTGGATATATCTATGAAGCATATTATGCATGACATTTTAACGTGCAGACATAGACCGATGTACACTTCTCACCAGGGATTGTTATCCTCTGAAAACAAATTTAATGAAGCTGTGGAACCATTGCTATTTCAAAATAAGGTTAGAAAATCAAGCTTCTTAGATCTTGTGTATAGTTCATTGACATGTTTGTGGTAAGTGACGGTAATGTGAAAACGAAATAGGTTGACTTGGCTCTTTTCGGCCATGTACATAATTATGAGAGAACTTGTTCCGTGTTTCAACAAAAATGTAAAGCCATGCCTACAAAAGATAAAAATGGAATGGATACATATGATGGCCGAAATTACAGTGCTCCAGTGCAAGTTGTCATTGGCATGGCTGGCTTCACCTTGGACAACTTTTCAAGCAATGTAATTATCTTTTCTTTTCTTCTCTTCTCAATCCTCCACACTTCACATATTTTCTCTCTGTGCAAGAAAATTACATAATATAATGTTTTAAAATATACATCCATATCTTCAAGATAGTGGTTATAATTTTTACTAAGAAATCACATTTTATGTTTTCTTACATATATAGGTTGAGAGCTGGAGCCTGAAAAGGATTTCCGAATTTGGTTATCTAAGAGCACATGCTACAAGAAAGGACTTAAGCCTAGAGGTTAGTTCTTACTCTCTTGTATTCTACTCTCACTCGCTTACATAGTTACAGGAAATAAACAGACTTTATTTGTTTTTTAACCCATTCATTTTTCATCTCTGTTTCCATATTTCTATATATCGATAAAGGATTTATTTGTGGATTCCTTTCTGTGCACTCTGTTTTCTTTAGAAAAGATCCAAAAGAAAAAAGAAAGAAGAAATAGGCATCTGTTTAAGCAATAAACAATCACAGAACAAGAACAAAGAGAAAAAGTATTAGTCACATGATGTCTAAATTATTTCTTCCATTGGCAAATTGCAACAATAATACGTAGTTCTACAATTCACTTTTTAAGACTATCCAACTCAGTAACGTTTCTTGCATGCCAGAATTTTATGTGGACATCAACCTATCTCCATATAAGTATAAAGATGAATGATTTCCTCTTTCAGAACAAAAAATTAATGTGGCACCCATTATATTTCCTCCATTTGTCATCTTCCAAATTTTTGAAAAAAAAAATAGATGCAATAGATCTTAAACTATACAACAGAATCCATTTTAAATAGCGAAAGGCAATAAATATATATAAAATTATATTCTAAAAAATCTTATTATAATAAAATATTTCTAAAATTGTAAAAATTATAATTAAATTAATAAATGAATAAAAAATTGTAAAAAAAATCTCAAGAGATCATGATACTATAAAATATCATGAGATAACATCTTTATATATATCTTATATTTCTATGGCAAATTTTTACTTTTGCCAAACATGCTCCAGTCAGAATGAAAGCATCTTGACTTTAAAGCTGCGAGTGAAGTGAAATTACCATTCTTTATTTGATATTATTTTCAGTTCTGATTTGATGTCTTTAAAATGGCTTCATACCTCTAAACTTTTTATTTTATTTTAAGCATTGGAAGAAACATATTATATACAAAATACATTGACTCTTATCTACTTCATTGTAGTTTGTCGTCTCAAATACAAAAGAAGTTATGGACAGTTTCCACATTACAAAGTGATAGCTCATTCAAGAAACAGAGCATACGTAAGTGAAGGCTATATTATAGATAGAGACCATACAGATAGAAACAACATCATATGTTTGTGAAAGACAAAGAAGATATGGACGTAGGAGCAATTTATCACTCTTTATAATGTATAGAACTGTAATTTTACACAAATTATATACAAGATAGGGTGTAATAGTAAGTTCCAACAGTCATTGTAAGCATTACGTACTATCAAATCATGTAGTAAAATGGGTATCATATGATCATAGTTCATAATGAAAAGAGCAAGCATGCATGTTCAAACTCGTTGTCATTGTTTCTTCCTGGCTGATAATTAGCATTAAGCAATGCTAGGAGTACTTTTAGGAAGTACCTCAATAAGCTATTGTGGAATTCATCATTGATCTTACAAAGAAGATGGAACTTTTTATATGAAAAATTCTCAAAGGGAAAGTATACAATTAAGCAAGTAGTAATCACCAAAAAAACACTTAAAGCCTAATAATCCTCATTCAATACGAATCGACTTTGTTTTCTGTCATCAATTTGAATTGACCTGATTCAGTAACTTGATATTTTTATGATTCCTTTGGGCCACATAATAATTTTTGTCCAAAGCATTAATGTTTTTTCTTTGTACAGTACCACCAAAACACACCCCCTGTGGATCAAGAAAGAAATCGAAACAGATATTACACTTTCCCCTATTGGTAATGATTTATAGACTCAAATATTAAATCTTCGCATAGAACTTTTTTGGAATCAATTTGACCCAAAACTCGTTCTAATTTTTTTTCCATCCAAGTTATTTATTTATTTTGTATAATTAAAAAATTTGATAAAAGCAAGTGATTATTTGTTCAAAATAAACCCCTTCATTGCTAAAAACGACAGCTAAATTAATTAAACCATTTTATACGAACCCTTTTCATTCATTCATTCCTCAAACCCAAGTCAGAAAGTGAGGTGTGAAACGACCATGACATAACCATGTCTTTTATGAATATAGAATATAGAGATAAGAGAAAATTAAATATTATTTTTTTAATGACAATGTGATGTGATCAAAAGCTGGCTTATGATTTTGGCCATCATCCAAATGCAATTGCTTTTTCTTCACATTTGGGGTTGTTTACTCAACTAGCTAGGTGAAGATGAGTAGGAAATAAAATTGCTTTTACTTTCCGCACCTCCTTTATTGGGGACCCTTCACCCATTTGGGCCAGTGGTCCTTATTTACTAGGATCTGTCAATCAATTTCCTCCATTCTAAGATTATTGTACGTCTTCCCAACCTCAACTTTCAAATTGATGGTCTTAATTAGTCCTTTTTGAAAAGGCATAATCACGTGTATATGGATTCAAATCTCTTTATATATCATAGATTTTTCTTATTGTGGATGTGCTTCATAGGCAATTTCTACTGATGGAAGACAACGTTAATTCTATAAAAGAATTTTAACCTTGTCTGTATTACTTATATGTGTTCTCTTGTTTCTTTAAGACAATCTTTGATTAGTTAATGCAACGCTTGTAGCCGACCAACTTCAATTCACTTGATCTATGTAAGAACCTGCGTGGTCCTGTGAATGAAACAATAAAATAGAAGCAAAAGAAAAGAAGTTAGCACCAATCTCATTATCTCTCTCACAGAGATGCAATTCACATTAGTTTATAAGAACGACAAGGTCAAGTTTGTTGAGTTGATGTGATTCATGTGAGCTAACAATAACATAAAATGTTGCTTTCTACCGAATCACATAAACTATGCTGCACTTTCCAACTTTTTTCTGACACTTTTTTCAGAAATTAGTTTACTTTAATGTTACTGCTCCTCCAGGTGGCTATCACTCAACAGTTCATTAAATTCAAAACTAGATTTCCACAGTATAAACCAGTAATGTTGTGCCATATATCAGAAGCAAACATTTCCTATGTTGGAAAAAGCAGATATTCACGATTTCAAGAAGGAATGTCCAAATGCATCTCCTATCACACTGAACCATTATTTAAATATCAGAATCTGAATCAAATCACTTGTTTGGAACTTCCTCAAATTTAAATTGTTATTAATCACTGAGTGCAAGTAGCCCAATCAGATTACANTTGGCACTGTCTGCAACAAAATTCTGACATAAACCTGTTCCTTTTTTTTTTTCTTTTTTTGTATTAATATTGTGATGTACGTTAATATGCTTTTGACGGATAGTCCAAAAGCAGAAAAATTGGACAATTGGACAATCTTGAAAACAACAAGATGAATATATGAATCATAGTGAATGAATTCCTCAATAATGCACAAGAAAGTTCTAACATTCATGATTAGTACTCTGAAAATGGGGTTTGGACAATAATCTTTGGACAAGAAAGTTCATCTAAGGGAGCCTTCACCAATCTCAATTTTTCCTGAAAAACAAAATAAAATGGAAATTAAAAGATTTTTTAATTTATTAATCAATTCTGATATGTACAATCGGATTAACAAAAACGCAGGCACAGTACATGAAAAATGATCCAAACTACCTCAGTTGCAAAAACAAAGAATGCAAGAAATACCAAGATGGGAAATGCGTTATATCAACGTGCAGTGGTTCAATACAATTTCATGTCATCAATATTAGAAGTGACATTGAGTTCGTGTTCTTCTCTGGTGGATTCCTGAAACCCTGCCTTGTAGGAAGGTCCACGCCTTTGAGTTTTGCTAATCCCAAGAGGCCACTCTATGGCCATCTATCAAGTATAGATTCAACTGGAGCATCAGTGAGTACCAAGCTACTTTTTCTTCTTCAAATATTCTTTGTCGTTTATTCTGAAATGTGATTTGGAGCTGCAGATGAGATTGACATGGGTTAGTGGAGACAAGGAGCCTCAGCAAATCCAATATGCAAATGGAAAATCAGTTACTTCAACAGTCACTACATTCTCACAAGCTGATATGTGTAGTGAGTGATAGCTTTACTTTAGTTTTCCTCACTCATAAATAAGTATGCACTTTATGTATTTGACATAATTCTCAATCATAGTTTGCTAACAAATAATTATGAGTGATGTATTATGAATCCGTAAATATGCTTCTGTATTTAGTTTAAAATGAAGCATTACCATAAATTAAGTGAAGTAGTGTTTTACATTATTTTGATAGGAGTATTGATAAAAAAAACATTTGTAATCGGTTTCGATTTGAAATTGACAGGTTCAGCGCTGCCCAGTCCTGCTAAGGATTTCGGATGGCATGATCCGGGATACATCCATTCAGCACTTATGACAGGACTAAAGCCTTCAAGCCCATTTTCCTACAAATATGGAAGGTATTAACTTTATGGGAAAAATTGAAAATATAGTTTGAGAAAGTATCTCTTTAGCCATCTAGACGCATTAATAATCCTATCCGAAAGATCACCATTAGGATCCTTTTAAAAGTAGTACATTCAGAGTCCCAAAAATATAAAGAGTATTTTCAGAAACTTTGTTTAAAGCATTTCTCTAAACCAGTACTAAGTGATTCAATAACCACTCAAATCTCAATGATATCCTCCTCAATTGTAAATCTCTCTCACTATGTGTGTAGGATCCTTTGCATAATAGATCCTAAGTAAATTTGACTCAACCTAAAATATTAAATAAATAGACATGTGAATCTTTCTCACTTAAATGTTGTTCAACGAAGCTATTCTATTTCGCACTTGAACCTTAAGATTTGAGATTTAACTCATTAAAAAAGCTAATTTCCCTCCTGCTTATGGTCCAGTGACTCGGTTGGTTGGAGTGAAGACATTCAGTTTTCAACTCCACCAGCTGGAGGATCGGATGAGGTCAGATTCATTGCATTTGGTGATATGGGCAAAACTCCTCTCGATGCTTCCAAAGAACACTACATTCAGGTAGAACTGCTACTTCAAACATTTTACCATTTAGATTTTATATGCTATGCATATGATATGCGCACTAAGTTAGGATTTGGCTACTGGGGACATCTCCTGTCTTGTTTTTCAAATAGCCCGGAGCTCTTTCAGTGATTAAAGCTATAGCCGAAGATGTAAATTCCAAAAAGGTAAATTCAGTGTTTCACATCGGAGACATAAGCTATGCGACAGGTTTTCTAGCAGAATGGGATTTCTTCCTTCACCTTATCAACCCAGTAGCTTCCAGGCTTTCTTATATGACAGCAATAGGGAATCATGAGAGGTATTTCATTCATATTAACACAATTCTGTGCAGCGAATGTTTTCCTCTAGTATACCTTACTTGAAGAGTTTATACAAAAGTTCACACAAAATCATTACTTAATTTCCTGTACATTTCTAAACTCTTTGTTTTCACTCAGGGATTACGTAGATTCTGGTTCAGTATATATTACTCCTGACTCTGGTGGGGAATGTGGAGTACCGTATGAAACATATTTCCCAATGCCAACTTCAGCAAAAGATAAGCCTTGGTACTCTATAGAACAAGGAAGTGTTCATTTCACAGTAATATCAACTGAGCATGATTGGTCAGAAAATTCTGAGCAGGTAAAATGAGGGAAGCCACTATTATGTTTCTTTTATCTTTAGTTCGATTGAATGGTTACATAATATGTGTATCTTCCCCGTTGCAGTATGCGTGGATGCAAAAGGACATGGCATCGGTTAATCGACAGAAAACTCCTTGGCTAATCTTCATGGGGTAAGTATGCACATTTTTAAAGAATTGCTTGCCCCAAATTCACATCATTGGATATATCTATGAAGCATATTATGCATGACATTTTAACGTGCAGACATAGACCGATGTACACTTCTCACCAGGGATTGTTATCCTCTGAAAACAAATTTAATGAAGCTGTGGAACCATTGCTATTTCAAAATAAGGTTAGAAAATCAAGCTTCTTAGATCTTGTGTATAGTTCATTGACATGTTTGTGGTAAGTGACGGTAATGTGAAAACGAAATAGGTTGACTTGGCTCTTTTCGGCCATGTACATAATTATGAGAGAACTTGTTCCGTGTTTCAACAAAAATGTAAAGCCATGCCTACAAAAGATAAAAATGGAATGGATACATATGATGGCCGAAATTACAGTGCTCCAGTGCAAGTTGTCATTGGCATGGCTGGCTTCACCTTGGACAACTTTTCAAGCAATGTAATTATCTTTTCTTTTCTTCTCTTCTCAATCCTCCACACTTCACATATTTTCTCTCTGTGCAAGAAAATTACATAATATAATGTTTTAAAATATACATCCATATCTTCAAGATAGTGGTTATAATTTTTACTAAGAAATCACATTTTATGTTTTCTTACATATATAGGTTGAGAGCTGGAGCCTGAAAAGGATTTCCGAATTTGGTTATCTAAGAGCACATGCTACAAGAAAGGACTTAAGCCTAGAGGTTAGTTCTTACTCTCTTGTATTCTACTCTCACTCGCTTACATAGTTACAGGAAATAAACAGACTTTATTTGTTTTTTAACCCATTCATTTTTCATCTGTTTCCATATTTCTATATATCGATAAAGGATTTATTTGTGGATTCCTTTCTGTGCACTCTGTTTTCTTTAGAAAAGATCCAAAAGAAAAAAGAAAGAAGAAATAGGCATCTGTTTAAGCAATAAACAATCACAGAACAAGAACAAAGAGAAAAAGTATTAGTCACATGATGTCTAAATTATTTCTTCCATTGGCAAATTGCAACAATAATACGTAGTTCTACAATTCACTTTTTAAGACTATCCAACTCAGTAACGTTTCTTGCATGCCAGGCTTTTATGTGGACATCAACCTATCTCCATATAAGTATAAAGATGAATGATTTCCTCTTTCAGAACAAAAAATTAATGTGGCACCCATTATATTTCCTCCATTTGTCATCTTCCAAATTTTTGAAAAAAAAAATAGATGCAATAGATCTTAAACTATACAACAGAATCCATTTTAAATAGCGAAAGGCAATAAATATATATAAAATTATATTCTAAAAAATCTTATTATAATAAAATATTTCTAAAATTGTAAAAATTATAATTAAATTAATAAATGAATAAAAAATTGTAAAAAAAATCTCAAGAGATCATGATACTATAAAATATCATGAGATAACATCTTTATATATATCTTATATTTCTATGGCAAATTTTTACTTTTGCCAAACATGCTCCAGTCAGAATGAAAGCATCTTGACTTTAAAGCTGCGAGTGAAGTGAAATTACCATTCTTTATTTGATATTATTTTCAGTTCTGATTTGATGTCTTTAAAATGGCTTCATACCTCTAAACTTTTTATTTTATTTTAAGCATTGGAAGAAACATATTATATACAAAATACATTGACTCTTATCTACTTCATTGTAGTTTGTCGTCTCAAATACAAAAGAAGTTATGGACAGTTTCCACATTACAAAGTGATAGCTCATTCAAGAAACAGAGCATACGTAAGTGAAGGCTATATTATAGATAGAGACCATACAGATAGAAACAACATCATATGTTTGTGAAAGACAAAGAAGATATGGACGTAGGAGCAATTTTTCACTCTTTATAATGTATAGAACTGTAATTTTACACAAATTATATACAAGATAGGGTGTAATAGTAAGTTCCAACAGTCATTGTAAGCATTACGTACTATCAAATCATGTAGTAAAATGGGTATCATATGATCATAGTTCATAATGAAAAGCGCAAGCATGCATGTTCAAACTCGTTGTCATTGTTTCTTCCTGGCTGATAATTAGCATTAAGCAATGCTAGGAGTACTTTTAGGAAGTACCTCAATAAGCTATTGTGGAATTCATCATTGATCTTACAAAGAAGATGGAACTTTTTATATGAAAAATTCTCAAAGGGGAAGTATACAATTAAGCAAGTAGTAATCACCAAAAAAACACTTAAAGCCTAATAATCCTCATTCAATACGAATCGACTTTGTTTTCTGTCATCAATTTGAATTGACCTGATTCAGTAACTTGATATTTTTATGATTCCTTTGGGCCACATAATAATTTTTGTCCAAAGCATTAATGTTTTTTCTTTGTACAGTACCACCAAAACACACCCCCTGTGGATCAAGAAAGAAATCGAAACAGATATTACACTTTCCCCTATTGGTAATGATTTATAGACTCAAATATTAAATCTTCGCATAGAACTTTTTTGGAATCAATTTGACCCAAAACTCGTTCTAATTTTTTTTCCATCCAAGTTATTTATTTATTTTGTATAATTAAAAAATTTGATAAAAGCAAGTGATTATTTGTTCAAAATAAACCCCTTCATTGCTAAAAACGACAGCTAAATTAATTAAACCATTTTATACGAACCCTTTTCATTCATTCATTCCTCAAACCCAAGTCAGAAAGTGAGGTGTGAAACGACCATGACATAACCATGTCTTTTATGAATATAGAATATAGAGATAAGAGAAAATTAAATATTATTTTTTTAATGACAATGTGATGTGATCAAAAGCTGGCTTATGATTTTGGCCATCATCCAAATGCAATTGCTTTTTCTTCACATTTGGGGTTGTTTACTCAACTAGCTAGGTGAAGATGAGTAGGAAATAAAATTGCTTTTACTTTCCGCACCTCCTTTATTGGGGACCCTTCACCCATTTGGGCCAGTGGTCCTTATTTACTAGGATCTGTCAATCAATTTCCTCCATTCTAAGATTATTGTACGTCTTCCCAACCTCAACTTTCAAATTGATGGTCTTAATTAGTCCTTTTTGAAAAGGCATAATCACGTGTATATGGATTCAAATCTCTTTATATATCATAGATTTTTCTTATTGTGGATGTGCTTCATAGGCAATTTCTACTGATGGAAGACAACGTTAATTCTATAAAAGAATTTTAACCTTGTCTGTATTACTTATATGTGTTCTCTTGTTTCTTTAAGACAATCTTTGATTAGTTAATGCAACGCTTGTAGCCGACCAACTTCAATTCACTTGATCTATGTAAGAACCTGCGTGGTCCTGTGAATGAAACAATAAAATAGAAGCAAAAGAAAAGAAGTTAGCACCAATCTCATTATCTCTCTCACAGAGATGCAATTCACATTAGTTTATAAGAACGACAAGGTCAAGTTTGTTGAGTTGATGTGATTCATGTGAGCTAACAATAACATAAAATGTTGCTTTCTACCAAATCACATAAACTATGCTGCACTTTCCAACTTTTTTCTGACACTTTTTTCAGAAATTAGTTTACTTTAATGTTACTGCTCCTCCAGGTGGCTATCACTCAACAGTTCATTAAATTCAAAACTAGATTTCCACAGTATAAACCAGTAATGTTGTGCCATATATCAGAAGCAAACATTTCCTATGTTGGAAAAAGCAGATATTCACGATTTCAAGAAGGAATGTCCAAATGCATCTCCTATCACACTGAACCATTATTTAAATATCAGAATCTAAATCAAATCACTTGTTTGGAACTTCCTCAAATGTAAATTGTTATTAATCACTGAGTGCAAGTAGCCCAATCAGATTACACTCTCATAACATAACATTATTACTTTACATAAAGATACCAGGTTTGTTAGCTTTATAGAGGAGGTTTACACTAGAGATATAACACCAATAAAATCTGAGTCTAATCGTATAAGAGATTGACACCATTCTCTACCAAAAACTTTGATAACGAGTCTTCGTATTTATATAATGTTCTCCTTTCTCGTTTCTACTCAACGTGAGACTTAAACTCATACTTAGAATTCAATCGAGATTTAGTTGATCTTAACTAAACTACTTTTGATATTTGTTTTTAAACCTTTGTTGCAGAAAACTTGCAATAATTAGCTTAAATTGTAAGTATTGAGAGGTGAACACAAAAGCTAGCCATTGGAACTTCCTTTAAGTCACAAGTCACAGAGTGTGACAATGATAGCTTCTGCAACTACAAAGCTATAAAAAGCATGCTTGACACCTCATGCACTGAGAGAACTGAGTTCAATTCTTCAGCATATTTATTCTTCCTAGCTAAAATACCAAACCAGCTCACCAAACTCACCTACTGCACAAACTTAAGCCTTATTGCTTCTAATTATTCTATCAACCACGCATTAAGAAAAAGTAATTAATTTAGTATGATGAAACAATGAATGAACAATCAAATTTCATAGCAAATTTGTTATATTATTGTTTAAAGTGGTTGAGTGACTGTAACAAAATTTTGTCAATGTGCATATAAATTTTGTTTATATTAAACTTGCATCTTTAAGGAGAATTCAGGGATATGTTTCTGAACCTGTCAAAAAGACTATTAATATAAGAATCCTGCATTTAATATTCTTCACTCGTATAATCAAACTTACACAATAAATTGATACTATTTTCAATCTATAGGTTTTTTATTATAAGGTTATATAAAGCTTAGTCTCATATTTAGATTTTCAATCATCTTTTCGTAAATATGTAAACAAATTTCATCACTTATTTTTCATTTTTCTAGAAACACTATTAATCTAAAAAATCTCTCTCAACTTAAGTTATCGAAAATAAAATGATTTTGACTAAATTAAACTTTTTAAGCAGATGATTAAATTGCAATCCAATAATTACTTGCAAATTAAATTAATTATAATTTTCTTTTGGCAAAGAAGGAGATTGGATGACTTATAATAAATTGTATGAATAC